GGGGGGGGGGGGGGGGGGGGGAGCATAGTAGTTAAACGAGGAAGCGAAAAGTGCATCTACGACGATCCCCGATCGGTGTGAAGACGCGTCATACCGCGACGCGACACGACCGTTACGCGATCATTACACGTGAGACTGACTTATTTGCAGGGGTAAAAGGTCAGGTAGAACCGTGCGGATATCGGACGATAGGAAGGGGCCGGCGAAATCGCAGGCGAAACCATTTCCTACGGCGGAGGTGATCGAGCTCCGGCGACTCGCCGACGAGTACAAGGTAATCCGTGGCAGACGCGGATTCGGTCCCCCCGATCGAATCGAAACTCTTCGAGGTTATCGCGCCGGCTCCCTGTCCTCCTGTCCCGTAGTCTTCCGTCACCTCCTCATCCCCGCGGTTTCTCGTGTGGTATTCCCCGCGTATCCTCCGCGCACTCGGCGGTACGAGCGTTCGATCGACCGACCGACCGACCCGAGCATTCGACGACGTTCATGCGAACCCGCGGACGAACTCCCGATCGTCGAGATCATGCATGTTTCGTGGCCTTTGTCCTGTCGCAATGCCCTTTACGGCGACGATCACCGCGGGAATTCAATCGCGCCGCGTCGCGTGCTTCGCGAACCGAGCTACTTTTTGTTCACGTCAATACGCGACACGATAATGCACCGCGTCTGACAACACGGCAACCGATCGCGAAGGTAGAACCTTTCGATCACTCGGCTCAACCAGTCGCAATTACACAACACAGTCGACTCGCGATCGTTGCGCAACCGCGCACCCTCAGCCCGACTGTCGCGTTGTGCGACTTCGCAGCGGCCTGTATGAAGTTAACCCCCCACTTTTCAAATTTAATAATTTTGACAGTTGTGCTAATTTGTGCTAGGTTTGTGCTACATTGTGCTCGAATTATAAATTTTTAATACGAAAAATGAGCAAGAAAAATGGAAAAAACCGTTTTTTTGGTAGCCCCCCACTTTTCGATTTTCGAAATTTTTTTTATTGTGTTAGGTTGTGCTAAGTTGTGCTAACATTGTGCTAAAGTAGTATCTTCGAAAAATAATCACGAAAGAAATAAAACGAAAAAAACGATTTTAGGCAAAAAAGAAGAAAAGTAAGATTTACACTCGTATAAGTCAACCAAACGATATACAATTATATATCTGAGTTGTGCTAGCTTAGCACAAGTCAGCACAAATTTCAATTTCGCCAGCACAAGAATCTAAAGGGCACTTTACTCTTGAACGCGGCCCTTCGCGCTCGCAGTCTGTCATTAATCACCACTTCTAGACTTTGTATTGACTCAGAATTGCATATCTGAGTTGTGCTAGGCTAGCACAAGTTTCAGTTTTGTCAGCACAAGAATCTAAAGAGCACTTTACTCTTGACCGCGGCCCTTCGCGCTCGCAGTCTGTCATTAATCACCACTTCTAGACTTTGTATTGACTCAGAATTGCATATCTGAGTTGTGCTAGGCTAGCACAAGTTTCAGTTTTGTCAGCACAAGAATCTAAAGAGCACTTTACTCTTGACCGCGACCCTTCGCGCTCGCAATCTATGCCATTAATTACTATTTCTAGACTTTGCATCGACTCAGAATTGCATATCTGAGTTGTGCTAGGCTAGCACAACTCAGATATGCAATTCTGAGTCGATACAAAATCTAGAAGTGGTGATTAATGACATAGACTGCGAGCGCCAAAGGCCGCGGTCAAGAGTAAAGTGCCCTTTAGATTCTTGTGTTGGCGAAATTGAAATTTGTGCTGACTTGTGCTAAGCTAGCACAACTCAGATATATAATTGTATATCATTTAGTTGACTTATACGAGTGTAAATCTTACTTTTCTTCTTTTTTGCCTAAAATCGTTTTTTCATTTTATTTCTTTCGTGATTATTTTTCGAAGATACTACTTTAGCACAATGTTAGCACAATTTAGCACAACCTAACACAATAAAAAAAATTTCGAAAATCGAAAAGTGGAGGGCTACAAAAAAACGGTTTTTTCCATTTTTCTTGCTCATTTTTCATATTAAAAATTTATAATTCGAGCACAATGTAGCACAAACCCAGCACAAATCAGCACAATTGTCAAAATTATTAAATTCAAAAAGTGGGAGGCTAACTTCATACAGGCCTTCGCAGCGGGGTTGTCAGAATCCCCGAAGCCTCGAGGCGCTTTCCGCGATCCCGTAATTCCGGCGGTATCATCGCCAGCTCCAAAGTGAAAGTACTCCGAATTCCACATTCTTCTCGGTCTTCGTCACCTGAGCAGGACACTCAGTGTCTTTTTTCAAGCATGCTTTGTATGGTATCCTCTTAAGGCCAAATCACACTAGCGATTGACGATTGACGATTAACGATTGAAGATTAGATTTGGACGAATCAACGAGCTTCAACCTTGGCTTGCTTTGTTTCTATCGTTGGTCAAGTTCCAATTTTCAATCGTCAATCATCAATCGCCAATCGCTAGTGTGATTTGACCTTTAAGCCCGTGTCACACTACGGATTGGAAATTGAGGATTGTGGATTGAAGATTAGATTTCGATGAATTAATGGTCTTGGCCTGCTTGGCTCCAATTGGTCAAGTTCCAATCTTCAAGCCGCAATCCTCTATCTCCAATCCATAGTGTGACACGGGCTTTAGGCCGAGTAGCACCGACGTTTTCGATTAATCAAGCCTGGTTAACTGCATCTAAATGAAGCATACTTAATTTTAAAATTATATATAATTATAATATATAAAATTACGTAATATTGTAATTATTTATAATACTATAGTTATATATATTATGATATTATAATATCTTATATAACGTTACAAAGTAATTGTAAAATCTATTCGCGCATATCTAAGGTGTCCCGAGTTCATTGAGGCGACCTCTTATCCGCAAATTCTTCGACTATCCGAGACGGAAATTGTTCAAGCAATGACCCACTTGTGGAAATTCCTTCATCAACTTGAAATCAGTCCAAAGAGGCCGATACAGCCAAGTTTGGGGGATACCTGATATGTAAAAATCTCTGAAAACAAACGAGCGAACAATTAATTACTATTGTGTGTCGCTCCGTGTATCGTGGATCTCACGTTTCCGCGACTATTCGACTAAACAATTAATTCCTCATATTCAGCCGGAGTTTCTGAAGCGTTAATCGTCGTTGGTGCGACTGGCCTCTTAGGGGGAATTCACAGCTTGGCAGAAAAGTGAAAAATAGGAAAACAGAAATCACGCAGAACTCGTGGAACTGATGGAAAAGCAGAAACTGTCAACTACACTGAGGGAAAAATTACCTTAAATTCAACAAATATTTCTTTGACGGCTGCCATTAACATATTTACTTAAATCTAAATTCTCTATTTAAATCAAGTATTGTTTACCTGATTTAAGTAAATGATATTTGGTTTAAATAAAGAGAATTTAGATTTATAAATAAGTATGTTAATGGCATCCATCAAAGAAATATTTGTTGATTTTAAGGTAATTTTTCCCTCAGTGTAGCTGATCCATCAGCGCGAGTCCTGATTGGCTTCTGCCATTCTGTTCTTCTGTCAAACTGTGAATTCTCCCTCAGTGTATCCCCTTAGGGTGTGTGTGTCTGTGTGTATAGTCTCGACATCCAGCGATAGATTAGATCGCGGCGATAACGACACACAGCTGATACATTTTGGTTTGCATTAGCATCGTGACTGGGGTTGCGGTCTGGCGGCCGAGGACGAGGCTTCGCTGTGGAAACGAGTCTCCAGTAACCATGCGCTCAACGCCCTATCCCTTGCCAGGCCAGTACACTACTCCATCATTTTCCGAGGAGCTCATTGTTGTTCCGCGATCGCCGATTTTCACATCTCGTTCACCGGCCGGGCCGTTCGCGGGCGCGAATTATCCCCATCATTGGCGAGCCGGGAATCCCGCGCCGTTTCGTACTCTGGACGTTACGCAACGGCGACTGGGAAAGAGCGCCGGGAGATTTCAGAGTGGAGACTATCACTCATATCCGCTCGTTCACCCAAGAAAATGTAATCTCGTCCTTAGCGGAATCCTCTTATATATTGCCTGAAGAGGATGCTTCTAGGGAAAATATTCCAAAAGGGATTTTCCAAAGGAAAATATTCTAAGCGTGATATTATTCGTCTTCATTGCATTGAGAAAAGAAATATTTCAAAAGTAAAAAAAAATTTTATTCGTGCAGGTGCTGATAACATGTTTACTTAAAAATCTAAATTCTTTTATTTAAATAGAACAAAAGCAATTACTTTTACGTGAAAAGCTGAGCTTCGAAGAAAATGTATATTTCCTTATTTGAAAAATATATGAAAAAATATATGAAAAATATTTTTTCTCAGTGTAAAAATATGTATATTAGTAAAAATATGTCATTAGCACGCATCGAATAAATATTTTTTATTTGTTAGATATTTTTTCTGTCACTGAGTGTAGATGAGGAATACACTTTCGACAAAAGTTTTCGTTCAGAACATGGGATTGCAGGAAACAGCACTATGCACCTAGAATTCTTTTATATTATAGGATGTTAGAATATTTGGCCATAATTATGCAAGAATGATTTGAATTCGAAACATGACGTTTCGAGAAAAATGATAATTTGATACATGATTTAAAAAGCTTAGATAGCATTAGGTTCTTCGCAATCATTCAAGAAGTCAAGCATTATAAATCTTTTTCTCTACAAGGGTATTCATCGACAAGCTTAATCCTTTAAAAAACAGATAAAAAGACGCAACTAAAAGAAAAGTGTTTTTAACTAATTTTAGGCTTCCATGAGGCTTTTTGTTTTATGTGGAAAAATGTCTGGACTACCCATTGGTAGAAAGCAAAAACTCAAAAATCATAATTTTACGGGTTGGATCGTCTCGATTATGGCCATTTCCCTTTTGTTTTTAGAAGAGGAATCCTCCTGAGGCCGTGTATAAAAAAAATTCCGCCAAGGACGATATCATATTCTTTTGCGTGTTCGAAATTCCGTCAAATTCCAATTTAGAACATGCGAAACGGGAAGAACGCATCTCTCGACCTCGTTCTTCGCGAGAAGATCAGTGATCATTCGGAGACCACTTGCGCAACGCGTCGGGTTGATCTGTCGAACACCGTAACGGCACTTCGAACATCAACTGTCACTCTAGCACACCTCTCAAGGCAACACACACGTACTCGCAATTTTTTGTCGTCTCGAGGGGGTGTCTCGACGCGTCCGACACGGATGCGCCTGAGCCGCTCGCAAGTGTTACCCCGGGCACACACGAGCGCACCGCTCTTCGCTGTCGTCAAGTCACACGTGTTCATTGTGCTCGTCGTGCTGCGATCAATTTGGAAACGTTGTTTCACCGAAATTGCACCGGACGAGCGAGAACGCCCGCTCGCGAGGCTCCACTGAGGACTGTGGCAAATGTGTTCGCACCTTCACACGGGTCCCGTCGTAGTTAGCCTTTTGTTTCTTCCTCGAGCGGGTGCGATAATCGGCCTGACGATCACGCGAACGCATCGATCGGCTGTTTAGATCGGTCACCAAGGAGGAGAAGGAGAAGGAGAACACGAGGAAGGTCGCGCCGATCGCCACGATGGTGACTATGCCGCCGGCGGGTCGACCGTCTTCAGTGCAGGCTAGACCGATTCACGGGATCTTGCAGGACGACATCAAAGCGGTATGCGAGTGTTCCCTCGAGTAGTTGACACCTTTGCGATATCGGCTTAACACCGAGCGCTCGATTTAATCGATCGTCCACTGCAATTTGTGGGATATTTGGCGTTTTCCTTCAGTTCTCCGATTTTATCCGTGTCTATAATGGATGGTCTATAAATACAGTGTTGGGCATTGATTGATGAAAATTTTCTCCGACTAATCGATAAATCAGTCATACATTATCGTCAGATAATACTCTAAATACAAATAATTTAATGAATTAAAAAAATTGTTAATCAGTGTACATAATGAATCACATCGATGTTTAATTAATAACCAATTTCATTAATCGATAAGATTATTTGTGATTTTGCGTATAACGGTTGAACGATTGAATGACTGACTTGCCGATTATTTTAGTCAAAGAGACTTTTTTTACTTAATACTAGACACTATAGAGATATAAAGAGACATTGATAATATTATTATTATTATTAATATGTGCCATCTGTTGCACTTTCGGAGAGAATATTGAAGGATTCTCCTACCTACTGCTGTATCTGATGATGTATTTTGTCGCAGGATAATGATCGAGCCATCGCTCGTGCAAGAAAGGATTTCTTGATCCGCCACCATCTCGATCGTACTACTGGCGTAGGTATGTGATTAATAGCTAAATCAATTCGTCCAAGTAACGTCCGAAAGGCCGACTTAATTAAAAGCGACACAGTGAACGCCGGGAGGTGTCCGACGCTATATTCATCTCCGACGCTGTCGTGAATAATTTCCGACCGTGATATACGTAGACCCGAGGTATAAACTGAAGGACAATTTTCTTCCTGCCAAGGTGATGGCGCACTACTTCCCTCTCCGACGAGAGAGAAGCTGGAGCCCGTTATCCCACGACGGCGCGAGGACACCAAGGAACATCGGGACGAGATTCAGCCGCGAACCAAGTCCAGTCCGAAGAACAGTCCGCGAACTGGACGCTCGCAGAGCCTCGGACCGACCGTCACCGATCGCAGATCGCCTAAACGTCAGCCCCCGCGCGCACCGTCTGTCACTAAAGACGCCAAGGTAAATTACTGTTACACGTACACGAAAGGGAAAAAAAATTCGTGCAACCGAATAGAAACTAGATGAAAATTCACGAGAAGTGATATCTCTGTTACCGAAACCGAAAACGTTTCTCTAGACATTTTAGCTGTATTGCAACTTGGTTGCAATAATTGAGAACAGTGGCGTAGCCAGAAAAAAGTTCCGGGGGGGCTGCAATTTTTATTTTTGACGAGCAAAAAAGATTATTCGAAAAAATTTTTCTCATACTTAGCGTAACCCAGAAAATTAATTTCGGAGGGGAGGCTGTAGCCCCCTCAGCTTCCCCCCTGGCTACGCCACTGACTGAGAACAATTGACCGAGTAGAAAGTCTCTACAGGAATCTTTCTGTTCCCACAAGCGAGTTTTTTATCTGGTTTTTATTCTCATCAGGAGGGCATCGGAAAATTTTTTTCACCGTAGACTTATATAGAGATCGACTGTGCATTCCTATCGGACTGGAGTCGGCATGAGTAAAAGAAGACAATAGAGAGTACAATGTTCTCCTAGTTGCTTTGTCGATGGGAAGAACGGAGAACGAGAAGGAATTGCATAATCCTCTCTTTTTTTATTGAGAGAAAAAATATCTAAAAAATAAAAATCTCAGTGAGCAGCAAGAATTTACTTAAATCCTTTTATTTAAACAGAACAAACAATTGTTTTCATGTAAAGCTAAGGTTTCAAGAAAATGTATATTTCCTTAATTGAAAAATATTTTATATTAGTAATTTTATATTAGTAAATATTATTAACATTCACCGAATAGATGTTTTTTATTCTTTAAATATTTTCTCTCACTATATGTCCCACTCTTTTTTTGTATCCTCTACATCGTCTTCTACAGTGCTGTATGACAGAGAAAGAATCTTATTCAGTGTACCTTTTACTTTTATCCTCAGCTACCTGATAAGAGAATGCGCAGTCTATCTCTAAGGCTATTAATAGTCGTTACTTAAAACTTGTCATACGTGAAATATGAATTAATACGTCAAATCTGAATTTAAAATTAGATGAGAGTTTTTTACTTGAATTAATATATGTGACATTGCCTTTGCAATCGCGATTCAGCTGAGAAGCTCAGGTTTAACTCCAAATTAAGATCTAAGTGTCTTAAGTAAGTTTCTTACAACTTAACAACTGAAGCAAGCTTCAAATAACGACTATTAATACGGATCTAAAAGTCTATGCTGTCGCATCATCAGCGACACACCACGCAAAGACAATCGCGAAACGAATCAATGAACAATTCTTCGATACCTTCTTCCCGTCCTCTCGTCGATCAGTTTCGCGTTTCGTTCAAAGAATTCGGATGGAGAAGTATGTCGAACGGGCGAAAACGGACGGAGAAAGATATCTCGTTACTTTGTGCATTCGCGAGAAATTCCTGGACCAATTAAATCTGTCCGTCGGGAGGAGGAGAAGTTTTCAAATCAAAGGATAAATGTGCCGAAAAGAAAAAAGGAAAAGAGCAAGGAAGGAAGGAAGGAAAGAAAGTATCGGTACCTCGATTACTCGGATAAAGTTCGCGATTGCGTTCTGGTATCTCGTCGGAGTCGGTACACCAAGGGATTTACTTCAGTTTGCCAAGGAGAAGGAGAAGGAGACGAAGGACAAGGAAAAGGAGCAGAAGGAGAGAAGCAGTGAGCCCGAAAGGCATCCACGACCGAGTAAGTAGCGCAAACTGAACGACAATTTCGTTTTAACGTTAGTCGTACTGAGACCCCAGTCGGTTTAGTGCCCAAGGGATTGTAATTCCCCCGAATCGATTGGCGCTCGTAATCTGTCACGAGTCCCCCTTTGCATTTTTGTGCATAAACTGGATTTGAATAGAGTACTTTATATATATACACATAGATATATATCTATATTATGCGACCTTTGGACTGCTGTCTGCTCTTGTGGGCCTCGAAAGCCAAACGTTCGTCGTACATGATTATTATACTTATATACGAATCGTATACGCCAAAGATGCTCACCGCTCGAGAGACTCGCGGGCCTTTTTCTCTATCCTTTGTTCGTTGCGTTAACCTCATTTGCAACGGTGTATAATAAAACGAGATTCCCTCGTTATTAGGATCACCACAGGGGATTTTGTGGCGTTATTATCGCGGCTTCTTATATATGCTATTTTTCCATGTACGCGAGTGTTTCCTTTCAGGGCGTTTCTCGCGCGAGGGGGACGTTTTCTCTCTTTTTCTTTTCTTTTCTTCCTGAATTATTTCACGTTCCCGTAATTAAACGATTGTGTTGCGAATTAAGCTGCAAATGTGTGTAAATAGGCAAAACGGGGACAGTTTCATTTCCCGATCTAAAATGGAAAATACGCTTGAAATTTACGCTGAATCGTACAAACACACGTGTGTGTGTGTGTATGCACACACGCGCGCGCGCGCGATTTTTATTTACCTTTACCGAGATTACTTTCAAATGCATCCGCGCGAGAGTGTTTGCAGCTCGCGGTGAGCGTTGGTTATTACAGTTGCGTCGTCGTTAATGTTTAGGCAGATGCATGATAGTCCTGTCTATTTGTCTCTATCTCTTTGCCTCTGCCTTCAAAACCCCTCGTTTTAGTAATCAGTAGTCGTTTTATACCGTGTATAGACCGTACAAAGTTTCGCGCGACGCATTTATCATTCGTCTTCAACGCGGCCTTCGTGATTAGACAAATAGAAAAAAGAAGATCAACCTACCTCTGTATGATCATCCAGAAAAATACAGTCTTTAGCGTAAATTATCTTTTACATGGAAGATTTTTCCAAGACCAAAAGGAATATATTCTAAGCACGATATTCTTAAAATCAGAGGAATTTTATTTTTCTTCTACAAGTCTTATTCTCTCAATAGAAATTTCTTCTATATTGAGAGAAAAAATATCTGAGAAATAAAAATATTTATTCGTTGAGTGTTAGCAAAACTTATCTACTTATACTAATATGAAGTATTTTTCAAATATAAGAAAAATATGCATTTTTTACAACCTTAATTTTTCATGAAAGCAATTGTTTATTCTATTTAAATAAAATAATTTTTTATTTGAGTAAATATATATATATATATATATATATATATATATATATATCTACCGGAGAAATATCCTTTTTTTCCCTCATTATGGTAAGAGAACATTCTGTTTCAAGTAAACATATTCCTCTTGTGAATCAGAAGGAAAAACAGGATAATATCTAATAGACTTCCAATTAATAATTCATCTCTTTAGAAGAGGAATACTCCTTCAGTAAGAGATTTCACTTAGAATGTGGGATTATAGGAAATAGCATCTTGCAACAATTAAAATTCTTTTTCTAGGGGATGATAGGATATTTTTCTTGCGGTTTTAGAAAGATCCTTTTTTAAAACGTATGTAAGAGAATTTTCGCCAAGAATAAGATTGTATTTTTTGGGGTGATCGAAATCATAGCCATTTGACTAAGTTCCCACATTTGCTCCAACATCCATCGACACGATCGCCATTACATTCGCCTCACCACATAATATCATCGACAAAATAACATACATTGTCATCTGTTCTCGTTGTATGCCTTAGCAATACGGATATTTACAACGTACTTAACGATCACAACTGTTCAGTGTTTTTCTTGTCGTCAATAAAAACCGATCACATCGACTCGATCTGAAAGTTGAACGTTGTCACGTGTGTTACTTAATTAGTCATACGGTGGTTCGATGCGAGGAATGATATCGTAACGTGTGTAATTTGCAACATTAAACATCATGTTAATCGCGATTCGAACAAAGAGAAACGCACACGCATACATACATATATACGCATTCGTCAGTGTCTCTCTTAACTGATCTGTCCAAACGTTCCGGACTGCAGCATCGATGCACGGACGTGTCAACGTGTGTACACAGAGGAAAAAAAGACTACCACTCTAACCTGGCGCGATTCCAATGACGCAAATCACCAGGTCGCGAATGGGTCACGCGTTTTTCATCGCCCATCCGTCGACGATCGGCGCGTCCGCCACTGCATAATTCATGTTTCTCTCGCAATCTACCTCTCTCTCTCTTCCTCCCGACGCGTGCTCGATCATCCTCATCATGCTCCATCATCTCTCGTCATCGCCGTCATCGTAATCGCCTTCGTCATGGCCATCATCGTCATCGGCACCACCATCGCCACCATCATCGTCGTCGTCATCGTTGTCATCGTCATCATCAGCCACCTTCATTACTCGCGTGAGAGATAAACGTTGCGACAATCGTCCCTTCCCATCATGCCTCCATCTAGAGTCCTAAATAAGTAGAAGAACGACATTTGAATAGTTGCGATACATCGAAAAGTCGCCATTGTGTTTCTTCAAATTCAATAGATCTGGTCAATGGGAACTGGTTCCCGGTCATATTGAAAGAAAATATGTGACAGACAAAAGTCACTTCAGAGATTAGGAGAAAATAAAAAATTATATAAATAAAGATACGTCATAACTAATACTTATTTGCTTATAACTTTGACTGTCTACGTCAAGCTGCAGCAAATATTCTCCCGTAACGTCGAATGTGAGTGTGTACCTGTATTATTGTATCTCTACTCGTCCACCATCGTAAGAAACAATATGGCGTTGAATCACGTGATTTAATTGTGACCAATCGGACCGTTTTCTTCAATGCCACTTCTCTATTTACTTAGGGCTCTACCTCCACTCTTTTCGCGGATCCTTTGTCCATGCCTCTTTCTCTCTGTCTCTCTTTCTCTCTATCTCGCGCGTGTTCTCCACCTCACTCTTCCTCGTAAGCTCTACGCGCGAGAATACGCATACACGGGCAGGTGTCGTGATTAGATTGATCAGGAGTGGCAGCGGGTGTTTCAGCCGCGACGGGCCCGAGCCGCGTCCGCTGGAGCATACGGGAACCCTCGACGGTTACCTCGGCGACTGGTTTGTCGACGGGTGTGCCGCCTATACCACCATTACCGCCGCCACCCCCGGGCCCAGGGCCTGCCCCGCTCCACAGGAGGCCCCCGCAAGCCCATCGCAAATGTACGTTCACTGTGCCACGTACCTGCTGCCCGCCTCACGTCGGTCTGACATTTTCAGAAACTGCATACAGCCCACAACCACCACAACCACCACTACCACCACCATTACCCTCCGCCTCCGCCTCCCTCTTTTATACGACTCACCCATCCGCCCTGACTCGAACTCGTTGATCTTGATACATCTTATTAGGCTCACCGTAGACCTTGTATGTAGATCTCCCTCAGAGCGGACTCTCTCCGTGTGAATGATTATGATTATATATTTCCGTTACCTTTATTTACATATATTATATATATATATATATATATATATATATATATATATATATATATACATATATATACATACATATATACAGTCTGCTCCAGGAAAGCTATCGCAAAGTCAGAGACTCGCTGGAGCCTCGCTTAGAGAATCGCTTGAGACGCGTCCGCACTCGAGTATCCGCGGGCTAACGAAGTAACACAGGTTGTAACGTGTGATGAAATAGTTTCAAAGTACTTCTTCGCGTTTCGCGAAGAAGCGCCAAGTTGCAGGCCACGACGAGGCCTCGCTCACACTAATAATTCATCCTGTCGTAAAGGAACTCTGTCGTTGAAAGAACTTTAAATCGACTTCGCGTCGTGAGTCTGTCCGGTTTGCGTCGAGACGATGACAGTCTCGATTTAACGAGCGCGGAGCGTGACGTTTTCGATGCTTGATGATTCGTGAAAACTTAGAGTGAAACAATACATATATATTGCCCGGAGGAAGGCCGCGTACTCGAGCGCGGGCGAACGATTAATCTGTTTCGACAACTCCGAGATGTACAGAGTGAAGCGTGATTTGCGGCGCAACCGGAAAGGAAGCGATTCCTCGCGTGCGGAGACAAGACACATCCGATCTTTCCTCGAGGCTCGGTTTTTCGTAACCATCATGTTTGAATATTATTCGTCAGGTACACTCGGCTACTAAACGGTAGCCACACATTTCTCCGAATGAAGTTGGCAGCCCTCCTGGTTGTCACAACTTGAGAGACACTGCTGATGCGTTCGCGCTACCTAATCAGTCCACGAAGGATTGTATTTAAATCTTCAAAGTCTACAAGTCGGTAATTTAAACTACGGGAGGATAATAATACTTGAATGTTGCATCAAATCAAATTTATTTCTACACTCCTGTCATGACTGACTACAGCGCGAACGCATCAGCATTGTCTCTTAAATTTGTGACAACCAGGAGCGCTGCAATTCCGTTCAGAAAAATGTGCGATCACCGTTTAGCAACCGAGTGTACACAGTGACAGATTTGATGCCGTTGCTCAACATCGACGTGTTGTGACAAAACGATACTCCGCGTTTTCAAGCTCACATTTATGCGCTGGATCTTTCATTGTACCGCGAATCACGTTCCACCCCCTGGACCCAACCCCTAGCCCTTTGCCCACCAGTAACCCCTCCAACAAAAACGACAGAACCTGTAGGAGCGCTCTCGCATCCTCACTTGACAGTGCCTGATAGATTTCAACGAGTGGCGATGCTCGCGTCGTGTCGAAGGCCATTGAATTCGAGCTCGAAAACGAAAATATGCGACACATGTAGTGATGTGTGTGAAAACATGCATGAGTTGTAGTAGGACGTGTTTTTCATCGAGTTTTATTGGATGCATTCATTTATTGGATATTAATTTTATGGTCACGGCAACTATCAGATGAACAGCGAAAGGAAACATTAGAGTTCCTTGTCCGATAAATGTGAGGATGTCGCGAATTTCATCGCGCTTCGACTTACACGCCACACATCGCCACTTGTCTCGACGAAAGCGGGGATCGAAAGCATATGTCGATGTCGAAAGGAGGATCGTCTTGTTTCACGACCGCCTGCAACACAGTTACGTGCTTGAAATTCGATTGCGTCGTCGTAAACAACCAGGTTTTGTTCGGTCTACCGAGCACCAACCGTAATTCGTACGTAACGAGTTGCTCGCAGAACTTACGGCGAATCGAGTAATTGAAATTTGCCCGTCCCTTGGGGGATCCTCAAGATCTTGAGCTTCCCGTGAAAAACAAAAGCTAAGAAGGAAAAAAAGAGAAAAAGAAAAGACAGTCACTCGCCCTCCCTCGCGCGGGGGTGGCTCTCCTGCCGCCTCCCCGTTCGGCACGTTGCGATACTAGCGCGCGGTTCCGACTTCCGCGGTGAGTCCGCAATCGCGCACGACCCGCGGCTAAAGAGATGGCGGTCCGACGGTAATAGCGAGTGCTCGCGCGCGCAAGAAAGCCCCAGGCTCTATTCATCATTGTACTCTTTCTTGTACGGTGTGTTCTAGCCTTCCTCGCGACCACCGCTCCTCCCCATCGCCCTCTTCATCAAGCCAAATCCACTACTACCGCCACCACCACCATC